CATGTTTCTGTCTGTGTCTGTGTCAGTGAAGTCATGTCATGTTTCTGTCTGTGAGAGTGAAGTCATGTCATGTTTCTGTCTGTGTGAGTGAAGTCATGTCATGTTTCTGTCTGTGTCTGTGTCAGTGAAGTCATGTCATGTTTCTGTCTGTGAGAGTGAAGTCATGTCATGTTTCTGTCTGTGTGAGTGAAGTCATGTCATGTTTCTGTCTGTGTCTGTGTCAGTGAAGTCATGTCATGTTTCTGCCTGTGTGAGTGAGAGTGGAGTCATGTCACCACCATACACAGCTGGTAATTCCCCTTACGTGTGTGCTGTCACGTTGTTGTTGTGTTGGGTGGGTGGTTGGCGGGTCCTTTCCTGTCGTTTGCTTCTTCCTTCCTGTCAAACATCTATCGTCCTGAACTCTCCTCCTTCTTTTTTTGTGTTTGTAACTCTCTTGTAACGCCTCTAATCTTCGGCACTTATATGACCTTATTGTGTTGCTAGTGCCGTAAAACGCTTACTAAAAGTAAAACTGTTGTTTTGGTCTTGAGGACAAATGCGCTCATACGACCTTATGCCGTTGCGAGCACCGTAAAACCTTACTAAAACTACCTCCCCTCCCTGTGCTTTGTGATGTTCTCACCTGTTTGTGTCCACCACTTTGTCCTTGACCTCTCAGGCCAGCGTGGAGACGATCGTGGGCCACGCCAGCTTCACACAGGACAAGTGTGTGGAGGTCAACGGTCAGAAGTACGCTGCTGACCACATCCTGATCGCCACAGGGGGGAAAGCTGACATCCCAAACATTCCAGGTGAGAGGTCACCTCTGGCCGGGATGTATACGTAGTGGTCAGTGGATGTATACCTAGTGGTCAATGGATGTATACGTAGTGGTCAGTGGATGTATACATAGTGGTCAGTGGATGTATACATAGTGGTCAGTGGATGTATACGTAGTGGTCAGTGGATGTATATGTAGTGGTCAGTGGATGTATACCTAGTGGTCAGTGGATGTATACGTAGTGGTCAGTGGATGTATACGTAGTGGTCAGTAGATGCATACATAGTGGACAGTGGATGTATACCTAGTGGTCAGTGGATGTATACCTAGTGGTCAGTGGATGCATACGTAGTGGTCAGTGGATGTATACGTCATGACCGGTCTTGTAGTTAGTGGTCAGTCTCGGTTGTCGGGTTGTCTCATGTTTTTTTCTCCTGTAGAAAGGAAGAAAAGTCGGATGTATTTTCTCACTTGTCCATTCGCTGAACCTGTTTTTTTCTTGTACATTTCAGGTGCCGAGCATGGCATTACTAGTGATGGATTCTTTGACCTGGAAGATCTGCCAAAGTAAGAAGGGTATGGGGGGGCGGGGGGGACTTTGAGTTGAACGAATTTCCCATTTCAGATTTCTGTACCTGTAGTAAGGGAATGTGCAGAAATTTGATTATTATATTAAAAATCTCTTGGAAATTTCTCTCTCTCTCTCTGTATTCTATCCCTGTATTCTCTCTGTATCTCTCTCCCTGTACTCTATCCCTGTATTATCTCTTTGTATTCTCTCTCTGTATCTATCCGTACTCTATCCCTGTATTCTCTCTCTGTATCTCTCTCTGTATTCTCTCTGTATTCTCTCTGTGTATTCTATCCCTGTATTCTATCCCTGTATTCTCTCTCTGTATTCTATCCCTGTATTCTATCCCTGTATTCTCTCTCTGTATTCTATCCCTGTATTCTATCCCTGTATTCTATCTCTGTATTCTCTCTCTGTATTCTATCTCTGTATTCTCACTCTGTATTCTATCTCTGTATTCTATCTCTGTATTCTATCTCTGTATTCTCTCTCTGTATTCTATCTCTGT